TAAAAGAATTGTTTTCTGTTTGTTTTTAGCTACACCAATAATTGATCCCAACTGGCTACCACAGGCTCCAAGAAACTCAGTTGTTCTCCTGACCTCCCTCACAGTCTGCCTTTCTCTTCTCTCCTCCCCTGACAGATGACTGTGGGAATTTGTGCAGTTAGACAGAAATCCCCCATCCATGCATTGTCGGCATTAATGTAACACCAAGAAGCTGGAACAGTAGGATTCTGATCCGGTGAAGTACAAGATTTATCACCCCTATGAAGACATACAGACTCTGCCTTTGGTCAGTCAATAAATTGTTAGTAGTCAAAACACCCCTTACAACCTGCCAATCTCCCACTTATCTTCCTATATCCGGTCCCAGAAGAACTGAGCTACTCTTTTTTTTTTTTTTCTTTTTTCCTGGATCACAGAAAGAATAGAATATCCTTCCACATAAAATAATCATTGCAGAGGTGGGAAGAGCACCCAATTTGTGCAAACCCTGAAATATATAACCATTTATTTGAGTAAGTTTTCCTACTTAATGTTTACTGTCACGCTGTATGCATCCAGGCAAAGAGTATTTTTGATATGTTCTGCAAAGCATTCAGTATACTAAACAGTGCATTAAAGGACCATTAATATTCCAAAACAGCATGCTGGAAGTTGAGAAGTGCCAGCAGTAAGGTCATTGCAGCTGCCCTTTCCTCTCCAGCTACCTAATGATACGATTTCTCTCTGTCTCATTCTCAGAAATGACTGAAACTGTTCAAAATAGCTTAGATGGAAACAGACACATACACAATTTTAACCCCAAAGTGCTTGGCAGAATAACTGGAACTCTAAGAAGTGTAAATCAAGTGTCACTGTGTAGTGCAAGTTGTATTGCTAGTTTCCACAGATTCCATCTACAGCAAGTAATTAATACAGGGGTCACTGACTCTCCATTGGGTAAATAAATAAATAAATAAAGCTCAGAGCATTTAAACAATTTTCCTGTTGTGACACACATAGCAAAGGGAAAGCACAGTAATCCTGAGTCACAATCCTACACAAACACACTGAGTCCATCTTCATTTTGTGGAAATCTTAGAAAGGCAAGTTCCTGAAATGGGAAAGGGATTTCTATGGAGCAATCAGAAAAAGAAAGGGAAAGAAATACTAGATATTAGAAAAGTTCCCCAACAATAGGCTCCTTTTCCTAAAAAGCATGATCCAAGAGCATGCTGAGCATCTCCCTAGAACAAGGAACTGTTAACTAGAAGAATAAACTGAGCATCTGGGTGGGGAGGTCACCATCACCTCCAGGTCTGGATCTATTTTCTCCTGCTTTCTATGAGGGATGTGTGCAGCCATCGTGAGAAGGAAAGAAAAATCTGTCCTCAGGGTCACTGCCATATGCAGTCCTGAAATTGCAGATGTGAAAGCACACAAAGTTAAGAGGGTACTTCACATCAAGCCAAACGTTCAAGGTCACAGTGTTCTTCCTCTCTGCTTCTTGAAACCAATAGTGCCCCAATGTACTTTCTGCTTCCCACTGCATGTAGGAAGTGAAAATCTGCATTCTCCACATCACTGCCAAAGAAGCCAACAGCATATATGTACAAGCGATAACAAGCAGAGTCTCAGGGATGTTTGGAGATGTTTATGATAAACACCACAAAGTCCCATTCTGGTCTGAGAGAAGACAGCAGCTCATCTTTGAGCTGTGATTTCAGGCAGTTGCAAAAGATTCATAAAGAATTATTCAGCAGACATGTAATCCCCCATGATAAGAAATACCAACTATTTGGAACAGGATTTCTCTGTGTAAATTGAAATCAGCTCTGTGTAAAGCTGAATTAAACCTTTGTCACAAAACTGCAGACCTGTCAGTTATATTTTTTCCAGGTTAAGCTGGCAAAATCCATTGAGAACACAGTCTTCAAACAGAACTTTTTACTGCAATAGTTGCTTTTAGAATAACAGCAATAAGATGATCCATTCTTCAAACTCATTAAACCAGATTGCTTTACAGCACAAAATCATGAACTGCACCATGTTCTACTTAGAGAACTATTTCATGAGCGATACTGATTTTCTACAGTAAAGCTGCTTTATTTCCATAATTATCCCTCTTGAGAGATTTTGTTAATTGTTCCTCCCTCTTCCCCTAGCTTTAATTCCAGTTTTCCCTCTCCATCCTAAGGGAATAGAACCAAACGGTTTTCATCTGGAATTTGGAAAGCTGGTCAGCTTTCATTATGGTCTCAGTCACTTTTAATCAGCTGCCCTAAAGAACAACTGGAAATAATTAACTGAGCTTCTCCTGGGCTTTCAGGTTCAATAGAAAGACAATCAACTGAAGATAGACAAAAGGACAACACTCTTATGAAAGTCTGGGAACTTCCCAAGAACTCCTGGATGTAAGATCAAGCACAGGGATGTCTGTCAGTGCCAGTTAAGAACCTAGGCAAAAAGTCCTGCAAGATTAGTATGTAATTTACAAGTGCATTTTATGCTGCCCATTTCTCTGGCTTTGTCCTGGATATTATTTCTCCAACATTGTGGATAATGTCAGTCAAGTGCTCTTGCATAAATACAGACATGACCTAATTTTCAAATCTCCCCAGTACATAGAGCAATCATCTACCTACTGCAGGAAACAGATAGTCATGAGCCAAAGTGTTTGAAATAGTGTGACATAGATGGTGGCTGTTCTGCATGGAGCAGTATGCAGGAAAGCTAGCAGAGAAGTCCAGAAGCAGAACAGTCACCATTTCTAATAGTAGCAGGGAAAAATATAGCATTGCAGTACTTAGCTTAAAAGCTTTGAGAATTTCAGCTTCACCAGATGGGACTGAGCTGATCTAACAGCTCCCAATGACAGCATCTGCTTCCCTTTGCTCATAGATCTCGCCTCTTTCCCTCACCTCAAGCCAGCTCCAAGCCTAGTAGAGTCCTTCCCTGAGCAGATTCACCCCACCAACAAGAAGCTGCTTTTCAGGCAGGTGAATTGACTCATCAGACAATTAATGAGCTCAGCCAGAACTAGCACAAACAAAGGATGAGCATAAGAGAACTTCCATTCAGCAGTAATGAATCATGAGTTCAGTCCAGGTGATCATGAAAGATGTTCCTCCTGCTGCAGAGACCAGATGGTGATGAGGTGAAGAATGCACAGAGAGACAGATCACCTGTGGAAGCCTACTTTGAAGCTGCTGCTCGACATTATCAAAAACAATATAACCATTCAAAGTTATTTTTATGTTTATGGAAATAAGACTAAATCATCACCTCTAGCAGATATCTCTGTGTTGCAGATAATTGGTTCCAGTAAGCCTTTTTCTATTTGGAAGTAGGATCTTTGTAGCTAGTCTGTGCAAAAGGCAGAGGCCAGCAGGACTGCTGTTACTCAAGGGAAACAATGGTGCTTGTAGCTAAAGTGCAGTGCTGTTTTTTTGCCTTTTTAGAGAGCCAGTTTTGGGGAGGTGGGGAAATACTCATAGAAAAATGAAGCAGCCTTCACAGAATCACAGAATTTCTAGGTTGGAAGAGACCTCAAGATCATCGAGTCCAACCTCTGACCTAACGCTAACAGTCCCCACTAAACCATATCCCTAAGCTCTACATCTAAATGTCTTTTAAAGACTTCCAGGGTGCTTGTAGCTAAAGTGCAGTGCTGTTTTTTTGCCTTTTTAGAGAGCCAGTTTTGGGGAGGTGAGGAAATACTCATAGAAAAATGAAGCAGCCTTATTACATATTTGTATCATGTCCTTATCTGAATGGAGCTGTACTCTAATATCAAGCTCCTGTAAAATGGACTTCAAAATGGGTAAGTGTGGTCAAGGTAGGTGAGATCGCTCAGAAGAGTTAGATCAGGACACAAAGCTCTTCAGATCACCCACATACTATACAGCCGTTGCTCAGCAGTTTAAGTTTCCTCATAGAATTCCTTCCCAGCAGAAATAAGTGCTGAAAAAAATCCCTATTCCCTCTTAATTTCTGTCTGCTTCACCATAAAATCACTTTTTACAACAAAGAACGATTACTCAGAAGCTCTTGGCTGCTGCAGTACAAGAACAAGAGGGGCCCAGAGGAAAACAAGACACTGAGGGCATCTGTGTCACGTTGCCAGCCAGCACTGGCTCCCTAGGGCAGAGCACTGCGAGGACTGTCTGTTGCCCTCACTCTAAGCAGGTTGCACATACATACAGGAAAAGCCATCTCAATAGACTGAGGGCCTGGATTACCAACAATTAAACTGCAGATCAAAGGGAATATAAACGGGGATGTTGCTTTGCTTATTAGTATCAGCTCTGTCCTTCATTACCTAAGGCCTTTCCAACAATGTTGACTTTAATTACTTTAATGAGAGAGAAAATGATCTGAAGAGTGTCAGCTCAATGGGGCAAGGTCCTGATAAAAATGTTAGGTCTAGGATCATTAGTTTAGCAGTTAATAGTACATTATTTTATGTTATTGAAGATAAATGTAAACAACTCCTGAAGCCTAGCTGCTTTCAAGATTGAAGCTGGGGAAACAAATGAGAAGGAGTTTTGAAATAAAGTTTTATTGGTTCTGTCACCCACTTTCAACAGATTGCTCTTTGTTGATCCATTACCAAAATAAAACAAAATAAAATAAAATATTGTAGAGAGTAAAGCAAAGCAAATTTAATACACTGTGGGCTTGTCTTCAACAAAACACTCATGACAATTATTTAAAACAAACTTTTTGAAGTGAGGGAGTTTATCCAAAGCAGATTAAGATAAAGCAAATCAAGTACACTTCAACTCTTAAGGGAAGCCCTAGCTGCTAAGCAAGAGACCATACACCCACTAGCAGTGCTAGCAGGCCTTGGTGACTTCTCTCAAGCCACAGAAAAGCAAGATGGAGTAATTTAGCTTCATTTGTAATGAAAAGGGATTAAATTGTATTGCATGACCTGGTGGCTGCTGCAGGTGAAAACCATTCACAGCTACCACAATTCAGCTGACACACAATTAATTTTGAACTGGGTATTGTGATTATGATTTTGAGCCATGAGTATTTGATACAAGGATATAATATGGTTAAATAAATCCCATTTAAATTTGTACTAGATGGGGGTAATGCCTGCAACTGTATATGTAGCTCCTCATTGTGTTCCTAGTGTGGAGGATTAGAGTTGATGGTTGCTTTGGCTTGGAATTAGAAAGGAAACTGCATGAAATTAAATAGAATTAAGGATTTTACTTCCCAAAGAAAAATCCTTTCCTGAACTTTCCTCTGATACTGTATTCTTACGTATAAGCTAGGCACAGTAGGCTTTAAAGATAACTGAAACTATCCTTGGAGATTCCAACAGATTGCTATTTCAGGCTTCATTTTTTCTCTGTCTTAGAAGCAAAATTTTTTTTTTTTTGAACAAGTCCTTTGAACAACTTTACTAGTTTGTGTCTTGTGGAAGCAAGCTGAATCTTTTTAACAGCCTCGGAATCCTCATCTATTGTGAAAGCCTCCTTAGAGAGCAACCCCCAAACACTTTAGTAATGTCTGAGAAACACAGCCAAGTGGGTCATTATGGAGAATAAAGATTCTTCTGCAGGTAAAAGAATGTGGACATAGGCCAGGGCTATTGTGCTCTTTCTCAATATAAGGGAGATCAGTCTTTGAAGGATGGATGTGACAAGCTAACCTCTGAGCCTTGTATTCCATACTTTTCTTTCAACAGGGATTGTAATTACCCTTTAGCATACAGTGGAAATTCAAGGGAGAAGTATGGACCTGCTGACTGCAGAGGAAACTCTCAGTTCTTGCTTTGAAAATAGCTGATAATTATTTCTGTCGCTGTTCCTGTCTCTGGGGCAGGCTCACAAGGAAAACAACAGCACTTGAGGCTGAGCTGCCTCATCCATGTCTGGGAGAAAGGGGCTCCATAAACAACTGGCTGCTCCCTAGGATTGTCCAGGTTTCTCTGCTTATTCCAGACAGCACCTTTTCTACAGTTTTACCTGCTTTTATATTCACTGAAAGGAATGGCAGTATTTAATTTCATTTAACAGGCCAGAAAAAGAGGTGTGGAAGGTCTGACAGAAAGCACAGGAAGCTGAACACCTGAGAGCTAACGAGAACAGTTACCTGCAGTGTATGGCTGTGTTACCCCTGAAAGGCAACTGAAACAAGTTATATCGGTTGTCCCTGTGGCTGCTGTGCAGAAATTTATCTTGTCCTCATGCAGGCCCCAGCAGAGACCAAGGAAGCTGCTGCAGCCAAGCTCTGGAGCTTAGCAACAGACTAATTCTACCAGCTCCAGACTGCATAAGGCTTGCACTCCTGCTGCTGCTGCAGAGCTGCCTGTGCCTTGCTCCCACATGGTGCTGTGGATGCTCTGTGTGGTAATGACAGCATTCCAGAAAAAGGTACTTCAAAAGCCTACTGTCTCTCTGAAATTACGCTCTTAAGATTATTTTTGTTTTTGCCATTTCTATCCACCTAAAAATCCAAGAGCCTGAGTTACCACCAGGAAAGCTATACCAGGTTCACAGGGAGCTATAAAAACCTCTTCAAATGGCACATTGCAGCTTTGCTGATTGGAACAATGGTGTGATTTTACAGCTGGATAGCTCAAGACCTTCCAGAAGGCAAGGAAGCAAGTGTCCATGCACCTCATTAGGAAGTCAGCAACTGTATCATTCCAATGAGCTTAAATACCAATTAGTATCTCCATTTGCCAGTGAGATATGAGCCCTCTGTATCTTTGCGCTGTCTCTGCTGGACCTCAAGATGGATTCAGGACAACAGAGGACTGCTAGGCAGAAATGAGGGAAGGGGACTCCTCTGCAGATTGATCCCTGAAATCAAAGTGATGGTTGGAAGTTTCTGAGTGCTTTTGGCATGTAAACAGCAAAGGAGACAGAGGAGATGGATGAGCAGGCAGAGTGCTGGTGACAAGGTCAAAGTATACTATAAACATCTTGTCCAGAGTGCTGGTGCTTCTATCGACCAATACCTTTGGCCATCATCAATCCTTGAGCATCCTCTTACTGTTCTAAAAGGAAAAGCCAAAGCTGAATGCTGGCTTTTACAGTCTTGAGAGGTTTACACTGCAGCTCTGAAACTCTAGACTCTGTCATAGCCTCTGTGTGTGGGTTATTTTGGCAGTACCTGTTGCCTTCTCCATGAAGCATAAATGCTACTGTGACAAAACACAGTTCACCTCTCAGAGTATTGTACTAAATCCACTCTATTAGTATTGAAGCTCCATTTTAAAGGCGTAATACAAGACAGAAGACAATCTGTCTTGTCAGAGACAATATCCTCTGCAGGATATAGAGAGGATTCCAGATGCCCAAAAGGTGCTTTGTAGTGGGTACACCATTGCCCCTTTCCTCTTTGATAAGGGATAGAGCCTGGCCCTTTGCAAGGTGTCCAGAGATCTGAAATGTTTTATGTCAAAAAAGTGCTGAGCAGTCTTAGTTTGTCTGGGCTTCTGGTCATGTTCTCTGGGTGTTGCAGACAGCCCTAGATGTTCCCCTCTCAGGCTCTATCCTTCAACTATCAGAAACCAAGTTTCCATTTTGCAGGAAATATAAGCCCTTTAAACCCTACTTCTATTTCAGACCCATGGAAAAAAAGAGTATTTTGTAATGAAGAAAATGAATGGCTTTTCTTCCACATGGAGCTATCAAGACATTTCATATTGATGGTGCTGGCACTTTCAGGCACATATTCCAGCACAATTTTAATCTGAATGCTACCCAAAACTTATTATATTTATTTTGTTGGGATCAAATAGAATACCGGAGGTAACAGGACTACTCAACCATGACTGCTATTGCAATGTTCTCTAAAACAGCTTTTTACTTCTACAAAATGGCAGCTCCTAATGAAAAAACCTACTATTGATAGTGTGCTGCCTGGCTCCTCTGTCATTATCTATAGCTGTGCCAGCCCTGTATTTGAATCAGCACTTGAACAAACAAATAGGAAAAGGCTATACCAGCTTAACCTGTCTGCAGTCCTTGTGAGTTGGTTCCCTTTCGCGCTCACCTTTATGGTTTTTCCTACCATTTAGTAGAGTCTCAATTGGCATGCCAGGGCTGTACATGCTTGGGCTCCTACAGTGTGCTTTAGGGCAAGCAAAACATGCTTCACAAAAGTTTTTGCCAGTATTTATACCTTTGGTTCCAGCAACAACTGCAGGTTCTGCCTTGCTAGTACTTAAGAAGTTTTGTCATACTAAACTTAGGACACGAACCGTGGGGGTTTCTTTTCTCAGTTTTATTACCTCTTTTATTGAAATAAACATTGTATCAAGTGGGTGAAGGGAGGTCATGGTTGGAATGATCTCCTCATATATAGATTAAAAGCATAACCTCCTTTATCTACCATTGGCTTCTAATGAGGAATTTCAGGTTCGCTAACTTCAGAGTATCACAGAATCACAGAATTGTCTAAGTTAGAAGAGACCTCAAGATCATCGAGTCCAACCTCTGACCTAACACTAACAAGTCCTCCACTAAACCATATCGCTAAGCTCTACATCTAAACGTCTTTTAAAGACCTCCAGGGATGGTGACTCCACCACTTCCCTGGGCAACCCATTCCAATATCTAACAACCCTCTCAGTAAAGAAGTTCTTCCTAAGATCCAACATAAACCTCCCATGGTGCAACTTCAGCCCATTCCCCCTCGTCCTGTCACCAGGCACGTGGGAGAACAGACCTGACCTTGCTACAGCCTCCTTTAAGGTACCTGTAGAGAGCAATAAGGTCACCCCTGAGCCTCCTCTTCTCCAGGCTGAACAACCCCACCTCCCTCAGCCGCTCCTCGTAGGACTTGTTCTCCAGACCCCTCACCAGCTTCGTTGCCCTACTCTGGACTCGCTCAAGCACCTCGATGTCCTTCATGTAGCAAGGGACCCAAAACTGAACACAGTACTCAAGGTGCGGCCTCACCAGAGCCGAGTACAGGGGGACGATCACTTCCCGTGACCTGCTGGCCACACTGCTTCTTATACAAGCCAGGATGCTGTTGGCCTTCTTGGCCACCTGAGCACACTGCTGGCTCATATTCAGCCAACTATCCACCAATACTCCCAGGTCCTTCTCTGCCTTGCAGCTTTCCAACCACTCATCTCCCAGCCTATAGCTCTGCTTGGGGTTATTGCACCCCAGGTGCAGGACCCAGCACTTGGCCTTGTTGAACTTCATACAGTTGACCTCAGCCCATTGGTCCAGAGTAATCTCAAAAGTACAGATGACCAGTGCCAGCAGAGGAGATTTTACTTTGTTGCCCTGCATTTTGCCACTATGCCTCTTTTTTCATTTCCTTTTTAGCTGTTTGAACTTTTCTCTATTCCTCGTGCTCCAGAAACCCTGCCTCAGAGACTCTGGAAGCAGTAGCTGGATGATGAAGGTGATCAAACAAGCCAGAGTTGGGCTTGGTCACGGCAAATAAACATGGCACAGCTTCACAGAGGGAGGGTTGTTACCAGCTCCACAGGGAAGGAAAGCTTCTTGTTGACATTATTTATTCAGTGTCCTACCATCCCAGCCTTCTTCTTAACATCAGATCCAGTCCTACCTGAGCAAAGGGTAAGTGGAGAGAAAATATAGTAAGAAATGCTGGGGAAAAAAAAAAAAAAAAAAAAAAAAAAAAAAAGAATAAAATAAAAACAAAGGGAAGAATTTCAACTTCAGAAGTTCATTGAATCTGAAAAGGTTCAGTTCAAATCTCTGGTGGTCTTGGCAGATCAGCCCAAGGGCCGGAGACTGGGAAATAAGGCCTTAGTCCACTAGCTGTTGTGCCAAAAGCTGAAATTTTAGAAGATGTAATTCATCAGCCCTGGGGACAGACATCCTGGAAGATAACTGTCTTGAACTGCAAAGTAAGTGCAAATTTGTGTTGAGCACTCTGCCTACTTACAAAGTGCCCTTCAAGAACACTCATCTTTAAAAAAACAGTGGAAGATTGTCTGACAAAACTTGTTCCTTGGTTCTCATCTTTAAACTTTTTGAACCAGGTCCTTCAGAGCTATAAAACATATTGCAGAAAAAATCAACCCTTGAGTGCCTGAGGCTGGATATCTAGTAACTGAAGGTACTTTAAAAAGTGCCTAAAAGCAGGAATTTAATAACTCAGGTCTGGTTTTGATCATAACTCTGGAGTGTAGATACCCTGATGATCAAATTGTTCAATAAGAGACATCCTGGAGGATGGTATATTCTTTTTCAGAAGTTTATCAAGCATTTAATGAACCAGAATTCCCCTGCACAAATACCTCAACTTCCTTCCCTTCTCACTCTGACACATTGCAGCCGGTTTTCACCTATGATGCAGCAGTCCTTCTCAAAAGTAAAAAGCTAATTCCACTGACCTTTAAAGAAGAATTCAGCTCTTCCACATGGATGTCTTGTTCTATATCCAGCCCCTCCCTCGTGATTGCCTTTTTCTGCCAGTCCCATTTTTTGAGCAAAAAAGCACAGCTGAACAAAAGCACTTCAGCCCAGCCTTTTAACATCTTCCACAGATTCCTTTCAGCTTTAAATCCACTGCACTTCGCTGTACCACTGAGTACACCCTCTCCCTTCTCCATACTACTCTGTGTGAACAGGGCCAGAGACATCCTTCCTGCCCCAAGAAGGCAGAGGAGACAAATTCTGCACGAAGACAAGTTATTGCAAAGCAGGCTGTGAAGACAGAGCTGCAAACCCAGTCCAGAGCAAGCCTGAATTTTCCCAGATTGTTTTTCCTCTTCCTCCGAACACATCTCCCCGACAATCCCCCTCAAGGAGGGTGTCTGCTAATGCCTAATGCATCTGCTTACCTCCATGCCACATTTGCTTGAAAGAGAACCAGCCGCCACCAGAAACACAGAGAACTACTAGATGCTGTGGGCGGTCATCACATTTGCTGTTCTGGGTTCAGCTGAGGTACATTAAGAGCTTACCAGTCTCTGACATCAGCTGGCATAACTGATCAGATACTTGATGTCTAACCTGGTTCTGTCAAAATGGGTTTAAAAAATTCAACAAACAAAAAACTACTATTAGCAGTGTTTTATGATAATCTAGATCGTTTTGATAGAACTGGACTAGTGAACAATTCTAGCAGCCAGACCAGATGTACCTACCTCTGGCAAGCCACACAGCAGTGAGCAGGTGGAGAAGGGCAGAGATCTGTAACTCCACACACAGCAGCACTGAAGAGCACGCTGACAGACTAGGCTGCTCAGGCAGCCTGTCTCCAAATCCTGGCCTGCCCAGTTTGCTGCAAAGCCTCTTCCACAAAGAGGGTCACATCTAGACTGTATCTAAATTAGGTGTAAAACTGGACAGACAAACCTGATGGAGTCAACATAGGACATCCACCTTTTTTATCCCTCAAGCCAGGTGTCCTTAGCCAGCCTTTCCCACCACCATGACTAATAAGGAGTTTGGCTATGTGGATATAGAAATGTTGTTTTTGCAGATTTACGTTGTTCAGAGGAAAAGAATGTGGCAACCCTAGACTGCATGGAGTCTCCTGAATCACCCTTCTTTGTTCCCTCTAAACTCTTTTATATTCCTGATGGCCTTATCGTTAAGAGTCTAATGTTATCTCAACCATGGAGCTTTCCAACCCCCATGGCCACACTCCCAAATCTCCCCCTTCTTTATTAATATCAACCATTTTCTCAACATGAATTACCACTCCATATATAACACCTCTAAACTCTTTACATTGCTGATGGCCTCATTGTTAAGAGTCTGTTGTTATCACCAACCATGGGGCTTGCCAACCCTCATGGCCACACTCCCACATCTCCCCTTTCTTTATTAATATCAACCATTTTTTTTGACACGAATTATAATTCCATGTATCACAATCATTTGAAGCCCATAAAAGTTTTGCAGATTTGAGCATGAATACCAGATTGTATATAATAGAACTTCAATAAACTGCATGTTTACAAGGTGGAATTTGAAACAACCTGGATTGAGGTTTTTCAAAACAGTCCAATGGGACCTCCATGAGAACAAAGTGAATGTTTAGAAACATGATTCCTTTTCTCTCTGTCTCCTTGTAATGTTTTAATTTTGGGTAGAAATTCCCAACTGAAACATTTTAGCAGAAAAGTTAGTTTTGCTTTAAGTATATATAGAAACCTTTAAATTTACAATTTTTCTTAGTTTCATTATAAGATCAGAAATTTTCCAGTGGCAAATTGGAGACAGAAATGG